AATATTCCAGCTATATGACGGCGGCCTGTAAATAATTGAGTCTGGACCAGACAATCCAGTGCTAGATATCATGAGCAACGATCAAGGCAATTGAGATATGATGACATGCATCAACCATTTCAGCGAGCCTGACAACCCGATCCCGTTAGTCACCTCTTACGACAAGTATATTCGCTTTTTACAGCAAGCATGGGTTGCTGAAGATCTATTCTACCCCGGATCTTCATGGGTCCGAACACATTTCTGGTTTCCCCCGCCGTGATATTGCTGGAATACCCATCCACCCACTCACTCACTCACTTATGTGTCCAATTGGCATGTACCTGTGATACTACAGTAATAGAGGCACTATTGGGGCTATTTTCACTATTGCAATAGTGCCCCATATTATTGCAATAGTACTGCAATAGCAGTAAACCAACTTAAATGCTTGATAATTATTATATCAATAAACTTAATAGAAATGAATAAAATATTGCTGACAATCTCAAAGATGGCCATTCTCCTTCCTGTCCCTACACAAACCAAAGGGGAGGTAACTCTAATATGAAGTCGGTGGAGTCCTTGCTAACCAACACACACTCAGGTTCAAAATTCACATAATGTATGTATTTTTTTTATCTAATTGCAACTATTGCAACTATTGATTATTATGCATTCTATCGATGAACCTATTGGTATTTTCAAGTTCCTATTGATATACATGTAGTACGATCATAAGGCAAACAATTGCCGTATATATTGTGAGAAATGCTGTTTAGAAACTGCAGATATACCGTAAACCACAGGATAGCGATTGGTGCCTTAACACATATTATGTTTTTTGTTCAAATTCACTGCTCATATTCATCACGACAAACATATTTCGTTCTCGTCCAGAGATCTAGAATAGCTCAGAACTAGAACATCTATAATTTCTGTGTTGAACTGCATTGGATAAATCGTGGACATTCCGCTGTATCGTTTTATGAAGATGTGAAGACGACATGGCAGGTAGGTTTTGAAACCAAAGACCTACGCGTGCGTTGAAAAGTCTTGGAATCGTTTGATAGATATTTATTACCATTAAAACTTACGTCCTTGTTGTCAAACGGTCAACGTGGGTGGGTGTTTACATGACGTTACCCGTTTACGCATTAACCAATGAAATGTGTGTGTTATCATGACGTCATACTGACTTGTCAGAGCACTCGTATAAGCTCCGCCCACTTGAGTGCAGTAGTTCCTACCGCAGATGCCCCTATAAACCCTATTTCACCTCACCTAGCTCACCCTCATCCAGCCTCACATAATGTACATGTGTATCAACTTAAGTATTGGGTATTCATGCTTTTGTTGCCTTTGGATATTCACATGCACATGTCCCGGTATGGGATTCGAACCAAGGACCTTCTGATCCGAGGTCAGACGCCTTGTCCACATGACCAAAGAGGTTAACCCAGTCAGCAAGCTGACAAGGTAAGGATGTCATCTGTAGGATGATTCCACACCCTGCTACATACTCCCCCGTCAACAGAAGGCACGTCCCAGGCCGCATAGTAGGGTACTGAGACTTATTTTGCTCAAATTTGATATGAACGTGCTCAGCCCGACGTTGGGGGCCAATGTAGCGGCCATAAAGTCCCGTGATGGGATTTGAACCACGGACCTTCTGATCCGAGGTCGGACGCCTTGTCCACATGACCAAAGTGGTTAGGATGTCATCTGTAGGATGACTCCACGCCCTGCTACACACAGTATGTACAATTAATAACCATGAGCTGTTGTTACCTAATCCTCATTTTCAGCAGCTGCTGTTGTATAAGTCATACCTGGAATCATATTACTCTATGTTGATAATGAATACATATCAGACAGCTGGGAAATACAAGAATATGATGGCAGTCATAGAGATTATTACACGAGTTCGAGTATGTGTGTCATACTAATTTTATGAAACGAGGGTATAAATTCTTGTATTTCCCACACAATGCCATCTGGATGACAAGAACAATACAATGGTGTGTGTGAAATGATATTTGCACCAGCGAACATAGGATTTTTATTAACCATGTGGGTAATAAATAGAAGATATTATGTGTCTTGTGAAATATCTTGTTTCTCTCATCTCATGACAGGGGAGGGGCAGTGGGGTAGCCCAGTGGTTGAAGCGTTCACTCGTCATGCCGAAGACCTAGGTTCAATTACTCATATGGGTACAATGTGTGAAGCCCGTTTCTGCGGTCCCTAGCCATGATATTGCTGGAATTTTGCTTAAAAGATCACTCATGACGGGAGAGAAGAAATATTTTCAATTGTTGCGACGCCGCTTTTAACAGAAGTCAGTATTATCACAATGTGTCAGCTAAATGTTGGAGGAAAGCCTGAAGTGATGAAGGTCTCAGATGTTTACCAGCTTGGTGAAACTAATGACCATGGGTATGAGGCTGACAAACCTAGAAACATAAATGGGGCAAACCGGGATTCAAACCCATAGCCATAGGTTTCTGACGTGCCCAAGGGATGCAACTCTGCCCAGCAAATTGTGCATCCTTAGACGACCTGGCCACCCATGCCCCCTGTGGGTAATGACAATGTTTGTCTGTTTGATGTTAAATGCCGCTGTCAGCATTCATGCTGCTGTGTGAAGGATGCCAGACACAAGCATACCTCGATCTCCATCCATCTCATTAAAACCGGATCTTTTATGATACTGCTTTGCACGAAGATTTGATGACGTCTACACAGGAGCTCAGGCATTAGGTGAACTTTTGTGATGATGACCAGGGTCTTAGACAGTTAAAGCAAGCAAAGCATTCAAAAGCATATCTGTTTCCTGAATGTCAAAACTGAATCTGAGAGTTCAGAGTGCAAAAAAATAAAACCACGCTGTTATATTGTTGTGGCTATTTTACAGTGTTTTCTAGCACCATCTCCACCAGTAAGGGCGTATAATCAAGAGGTCTGTCGTGTTCTGAGGCAGTTTCTCTTTTGCTATTACATATAATTATAAAAAAAAAATCCTTATCGAGGTGGTAAAGAAATGAAGCTGAATCGTTATTAGAAGCTGACATCTGATTGGCTCTAGCTGGAACCTGCGCATTCTTCAGCAAGATCGGGCGGTTAGTCCACTTAGGGTTCACATGATGCAACCTTCTGTGAAGGTGTCCCCACATCTTCATGCACAGGCTATCATCAAAAACTGTTTACTATGTTTATCTAGTCTGTCATACAGACCCTGAAACAAATATATCTAATACAGCCAATGCAAGTCTATAATGTTTGGCAAGTCTAGATTACTGCAGTGTCTGAAAATGAAAAAAATCTCTGGGCTCCTTTTTATTATATTTCATAACTATAATTTAACAAAAGTTTTTTTCTGTGAAATATGTTCATTTCAGAGACTAGATGTTAGTCTAATGTAACAATAATGTTTCTCATCAAAAACCTTTTTTCTTATCGTATTTCGATATAAGAATGAAATTGGATGATAAATAAAATCTCTCTCGTGTCTTTTGATATCAAATATATCAACACTCATTAATAAAAGTAGAAAAACACGATATCAAATATATCAACACTCGTTAATAAAAGTGGAAAAACTTTTCAACTTTTATCAACTCGAGTTGATAGATCTATATTTGATATCAAAAGATACTTGGGTGAGATCCTCGATAAAATAGTACTTAAAAGATCCGATTTGAATGAAATTGTCTGTAACACAGCTACTTTGAGGGCGATTTTGTGATTTTACTAATCATGCACTTAACTTTTTAGAAGATACATCACATCAGTATTTATCATAGCCAGCTAGTGACCTGACTGACCTCTATCACCTCTAGCCGAGAGTCTAATGGGGGCCGAGGCTACAGTCTGGACCATCCCCACTCCAGTAATGAGCCAGTACTGGGCTACTCAATGATCTGATAGAACTCAGGGACTCCAGTAATGAGCCAGTACTGGGCTACTCAATGATCTGATAGAACTCAGGGACTCCAGTAATGAGCCAGTACTGGGCTACTCAATGATCTTTAGAACTCAGGGACTTCAGTAATAAGCCAGTACTGGGCCACTCAATGATCTGGTAGAACTCAGGGACTTCAGTGATGAGCCAGTACTAGGCTACTCAATGATCTTTAGAACTCAGGGACTTCAGTAATAAGCCAGTACTGGGCCACTCAATGATCTTGTAGAACTCAGGGACTTCAGTAATAAGCCAGTACTGGGCCACTCAATGATCTGGTAGAACTCAAAACTGTTTACTATGTTTATCTAGTCTGTCATACAGACCCTGAAACAAATATATCTAATACAGCCAATGCAAGTCTATAATGTTTGGCAAGTCTAGATTACTGCAGTGTCTGAAAATGAAAAAAATCTCTGGGCTCCTTTTTATTATATTTCAAAACTATAATTTAACAAAAGTTTTTTTCTGTGAAATATGTTCATTTCAGAGACTAGATGTTAGTCTAATGTAACAATAATGTTTCTCATCAAAAACCTTTTTTCTTATCGTATTTCGATATAAGAATGAAATTGGATGATAAATAAAATCTCTCTCGTGTCTTTTGATATCAAATATATCAACACTCATTAATAAAAGTAGAAAAACACGATATCAAATATATCAACACTCGTTAATAAAAGTGGAAAAACTTTTCAACTTTTATCATCTCGAGTTGATAGATCTATATTTGATATCAAAAGACACTTGGGTGAGATCCTCGATAAAATAGTACTTAAAAGATCCGATTTGAATGAAATTGTCTGTAACACAGCTACTTTGAGGGCGATTTTGTGATTTTAGTAATCATGCACTTAACTTTTTAGAAGATACATCACATCAGTATTTATCATAGCCAGCTAGTGACCTGACTGACCTCTATCACCTCTAGCCGAGAGTCTGATGGGGGCCTAGGCTACAGTCTGGACCATCCCCCACATCTCCACTGATCTCCATCGACCGCGGTCCTCGGGGACATCCAACTCCCAGTTGATGAATAGGAAAATACGGTACTCACCTTTGTAAGTCTCTCGGGTCTGCAAACTCCTTCCTAGGAAAGATCAGCAACAGTCAGTGTGATGTCAACTCGAGACACAGTCTTCCCGATCCGAGTACCCCGATGGCGAGTCGATTCTACGTAAACAACGGTAAAGTCGTTAGACTATTAGGCACCTACACATGGACAGCTGTTGTGTGCTGTTATTTGACAATTGCCGTCGATGACACCGCCTAAAAACCTGTCTTAATAAATATGCCAATGACAACGTGCACTGTAAAACTCGATACTTAACCAAACTGCAGTCTGAAGTTTGCAAACTCACTCGCGTACGGCCTTGACATAGGCCCTTGAATCTTAACCCGGAAGTAAATAAGCGCGAATAAATCTAGACTTGCTTCGCGTCCTAAATAGGCATCCTCCTTGACAGTCTGCTCTATTTCTGCATGTGCTTACTGTTGTTCTGTGTATTGTAACTGATACAAGTGTTGAAGCTGAATGGTGGTCATTTTGGTCACATTCTAAACGTGTTCTTTTCTCTCAACAATTTAATTAATCCCATATCATCGGATCTCAGTACATTTGGCTAACATCCATTTTTATTAATGTGATTTTATCTTTTTCTCAAAGAAGTGAGTGGCCCAGAGTGAGTTTGGTTAACCCCCTGGATGCCAGAGGGACATATATGTCCCTCCTCTACAGCCCTCACTTTGAAGTCGAATAAAATTCAAAATACGTCACCCACACAAATACACTTTACAGTTTTGAATAAGGTGGGAAATTTCCTGTTCTGTAATATCACCCACTGGCATTTTAGGCCAAGCAAAAGTACTGAACATGACCTCTGAAAATTAGGTACATCGTAAATGTCGCCATTTTTTACACATTACTAAATCACCACTCACGGCGTTATTTACAGCATGTTTTGAAATCTAAATTTCGGATATTTACTCGGAGAAATGAATTTCAAAAATAGCATATTAGTGATCACGGGTATCTGTCTTTTATGAAATCACCAATGATCATTCCAAAACGTCTCCGATAACCCTAGAATCGTTTAGAATGTTTTGGAAAAAACGAAAACACGAACGCCGAAGCGAACTTTCCGCCATATTGGATAGTGTTTACAAAATCACGTTTCATGTACACCGGTTATGAGACGCCTGTAACATCACGTATATTTCAAACTTATCTGCGATACCTACATCCTTGAATTCCTCATACATTTTAGAATCAAATGACCATGCAGTGGTCTTTGTCACCAATACAAAGTGGCTAGATGAAATCAAGCAAAATAAGTTAGGTGTGAAAACGAACGCTGTGCTCGAAAAACTGCACATGGTTGAAATGTAAACAAAGCCAAATTCAGATTTTACACAGTGTAGCATATTCTCCTATGTTGAGCTATCCATTCGTCTATTCGTTCAAGATATTGGCTCAACATTTTCAGAATATGCATGGGAAGAGAATCGTAGGAAGAATAAGGGAATTTCAAATAGGTACATTGCAAGTTGTTTTTCTGACGCACATGAAGTGAAGGTTGTGCGAGAATATCTCGCCGCTTTTAACAGTATTACAGTTATATCGCGGCGTGTCAGCTTAATGTGGGAGGAAAGCCCGAAGTGATGCAGGTCTCAGACATTTACCACTTCAGTGAAACCCACGAGCACGGGTATGGTGCTGACAAACCTAGAAACATAATCGGGGCGAACCGGGAATCAAGCCCACAATCATAGGTTTCTGGCACGCACAAGGGACGAAACTCTGCACAGCGAATCGCGGCGCCTTAGACGACTGGGCCACCCTTCCCCCCTGTGGCCCAGAGTACAACACATAAGACAGATGCACATATATATTATGTGTGGACAACATAATTAACAATTACCTGAAATTTAAAGTATTCACCAAAGTAAAGTATATCTAACGAAGATATGTCCTTTTTATATTTTTTTCTCTACTCTCTCTATAAACAGACATATAAACAACAATTGATATCCATATTAAAAAAATATTTAAGTTTGAATGTTCACAAGGTAATTGATCATGAGGAATAATGCCGTCACCGTCACGTTGTTCCTGAATCTATAAACTGCACGACATCATCAACAAATGACAATATCTTGACATCAATATATTCATTGACCAAAAACGTCCACGAATGTAATTCTTTTGTAAAATCTTTCTTAATAAAAATTATGAAAGAAATATTCTTTCGTAACATGATGTTTATAGGTTCTATTGTACAGGGAGTCTGTAAAAGATGCAGAGTTGCGTCCCTTAGCTGTGCCAGCTCTGTCATCTTCAAGTTTGTCATCCTCCTCAATAAACGCTAGACTTGATTTAAGGTTAAATGTAATATTTCACAAAATGAGGTATATGGGTTTAGTTCAATTTAGCTTAGTTCGTTGGTTGGTTTGTTGTTTTACGCCGCACTCAGCAATATTCCAGCTATATGACGGCGGACTGTAAATAATCAAGTCTGGACCAGACAATCCAGTGATTAATATCATGAGCATCGATCCACGCCGTCGGGGTACGATTACACGCAATCAACCAAGTTACCGAGCTCGACTACCCGATCCATTTAGTAGCCTCTTACAACTAGCATAGGCTGCTGTGCACCAACTAAGCCCGATTCGACGAGTAACATGTCAATTTCGACATTAGCGGTCGCCGATACACAGCTACAAACCCCTCATTTAGTAACGTCTGGCCCTGTCTCTGCAACGTTTTCAAAAAAATATTCTGGCCCAGACTCGATTATTGTTGTCAAATAGATGAATTATTGATGAGTGTGCCGTTAAATAACAAAGAAAGATCGATAAATGCATGACCAAGTGTCAAACAAACACAAATGTACGAAACAGAATGACGTCATTAAGTTACCCTCCAATAATATTATATTTTACGTACGCTTCTGTTCCTTTAGGTAGGCCAAACGTATTTTTAACAATCACCATTCCATCTTTCTCTCAGGTGTACTATCATATTCAAACTGAGAATGTAACCTCGTGCCCAGTATCACACACACAGTGTAATGCTTCAATTGTGATAATTTAGTTGGGAAATGTTTCGAGGTTCTGACAGCCTCGAGTATCCAGTATTATATCTCCAATCTGTTATGATACCTACATGAAAAACTGGATAATCGAATATGAAGTTCTGAGTGCATGCAGTGGTGTTTGAATCCCCATTCCAATGTATCAGTGAGTGAGTGAGTTGTGCTTAACGCCGCTTTTAACAGTATTCCAGGCCAGTTATATCACGGCGTGTCAGCTTAATGTGGGGGGAAAGCCCGAAGTGATGCAGGTCTTAGACGTTTACCACTTCGGTGAAACCCACGACGACGGGTATGGTGCTGACAAACCTAGAAACATAATCGGGGCGAACCGGGATTCAAACCCACAATCATAGGTTTCTGGCGTGCCCATCCCATGATCTCCTCATTAGAGACAACAAAACCTGCTGGTATACATTTCACTTAAATTAAAACAATTTGCATATATACGCATATGTTTAAAATACAGACAAATACTACGGAAACAAATCCGTACATTTAGATTGAGTAAAATTTAAAATAATAAAATGCTCTTGATATTAAACGTCGATTGGGTACCCCAAATATTCGTGTAATACTTTAAGTGACGTATGAGAAATCTCGATCTGCGGTTATCCTATTGTCCTATTTCGCTAGGTTTCAAACATAACCGTTTTTATCACCCACGTGGTGAAGATACGAGTGGTAAGATACTAATTCCGTACGTCACACGTGCGTCCACTCTCCTACCCAGAGTTCCTTGCGGCCGGCAGCCAGCCAGCATAGTACCTCTGCCACAGGCCAGCGCCCACACTCCGTCGCAGTGGTCACTCAGCATAACACCACTGCCACAGGCTAATTTGCATATCACGTGACCGGACTTTTCTCTTGTTTGTAAACAAACGCGCTTTTTCAAAAATCAGTATAGAACGGACTAATGCAAGTATTTGGTATATGCTTTACATATTGTTTTGCATAATTTTATAGATATGCTACTACAACTGCGACAGTGAGTTGCATGACAATATATATTTATACATCAAAGTGACCGTATCGCTAGCTCTCCGTTGGGCTTCGATGACAGCACGTGGAGCCGTACAACCAATGTAAACAAAGGATAACTACGCAAAAACAAGTAGATTTTCACGTTTTAGGATACTTTCTTAATGAACCGTAACCATTCTTTGACATTTGTTTACCACAATGTAAAAGCTTGACAAAAATGAAACGGATGAACAGCATATGCAATATCTTGAATGGACTGTGAAAGATGTGACGAATCGTCACATGGCGCTGGCCTGTGGCAGAGGTACTATGCTAGCTAGCTGCCGGCCGCATGGAACTGGGTAGGAGAGTGGCCAGCGCCATGTGACGATTCGTCACATCTTTCAAAGTCCATTCAAGATATTGCATATGCTTTTCATCTGTTTCATGTTTGACAAGTTTACACATTTTCGTAAACAAATGTCAAAGAACGGTTACGGTTCTTTAAGAAAGTATTCTAAAACGTGAACATCTACTTGTTTCTGCGTATTTATCCTTTGTTTACATTGGTTGTACGGCTCCACGTGCTGTCATCGAAGCCCAACGGAGAGCTAGCGATACGGTCACTTTGATGTATAAATATATTTTATCATGCAACTCACTGTCGCAGCTGTAGTAGCATATTTATATAATTATGCAAAACAATATGTAAAGCGCTCCCAAATACTTGCATTAGTCCGTTCTATACTGATTTTTGAAAAAGCGCGTTTGTTTACAAACAAGAGAAAAGTCCGGTCACGTGATATGTTAATTAGCCTGTGGCAGTGGTGTTATGCTGAGTCACCACTGCGACGGAGTGTGACGTGCGTCGTACAAGGTTGACCTTGTATTATTCGTTTTGATTGGATAACCGTGACCTCTGTCACACCGGAACTACTTTTTTATTCATAAAAAAAATCACGAGACGTCATTCACTTGTACAACAACAAGGCAGAAATGAAGGAATCTCACACACTTTATTAAACCAAACAATTTCGTCACACGCATCAAATTCACTTTGCATTCTATATTAGTAATGCATAGAGCTACCTTATACTATCGAGCTATACCCATATGCAATGTACGACTACCGATAGATCGAGGGTCCCTATGAGAATGACACACCCGACCACTTTCGCGACTTTCAGATTTAACGTAAAAGGTTGAGCGTCGTGAAATGAAGCCACTTTACACTATCTGGACACATATGTAGACTTACGTTGGATGTCCCATGCCATCAGTGTTCCCATTCTAAGCTTATTTTGTGACATTGCTTCCGGAGGTGTTTGT